CCCCAAAACCCCAAAACCCCAAAACCCCAAAACCCCATAGACTATATAATAAGTGAATATTTCATATAAATAATTAAGTTTCATGAATAAAGCATTTCAAAGCTGTCAAGAATCTCCTAGGCTAGCCTCCTGGGTTGAGAACTCCATCTCTGACTTCTGCAGTTGCCAAGCTGAGACGCCCCACTCCCAGATTGACCAGAGTAAGCTTGAGTTCTGGCTGCAACCATGTAATGGGCGAGCTTGGTTCCTACAATTGTTGGAGACTCCAAGTTGCTGTTGAAAGCATAAATCCTTAAGGATGAGATTTTTAAGGGTTGAAGGGAAATCTTATTTTGCATAAGATTGAGTGAGCGGATATTTTGCTCCACTATCTCAGCTGGTCACTTCTGGTTGCTGCTTTGAAGGGTCGGCTTATGCCTGATATAGTTCAAGCATGTTCGCTTCTCTTGCTAACACCAAGATATTTCAAACTTTGTTTGTCCATCATCTCACTATTTATTTAGGAACAAATCACTGCGAATTTCAAACATGGCTGCCATCAATTGCGGATGGAGATGCATTAAACGCTCTTTTTGACTGCATGCAAATAATCTACTGCTTCTGTGTTGGAGGCCATAGGCAAGAAAATACCTCTGCAAAGTCTTCGGAGGTTGCAGAGTCTTTAAATAAAGATTCTCAACAATTTGTTCATCCCAAACTTGAGCAATCTGAAGAATCAAAATCGATTCCTAAAACTGAGTCTGAAGATCTTTTACAAGTGGAAGCTCCAGCAAGACACCAACTAAATGGGAGACACTCTGAGGCTGATGATGAACCTGAAGAATCCAGTCTGAAATATAGAACCAGAAAAGACGTAGTCCACAAAGCTGCTTTCAGAAGGATGAAGAAGTATTTCATTGAAGATTTCCAAATGGTTACTCAGCATTGTTCTGAGCAGACAAGTTATTTAACTAAACTTCAAGAGTACTGCTCTCTCAGGTTCCAAGAGAGCAACACGTCCCAAGCATGAATGATGCTTGACTACATCATCAATCCCAAGAACAAGCTCGGAGTCATCCCTCACGAAGACAGACACCTCAAAAGGTTGGTTGGCAAACTTGTTAGTTGCTGTAGCCTGAAGCTGCTCAGACAGATTGAGACTCAGCCTGAGTTCTTGGAGATCCTACTGCACTTCTTGGTCACTGAAGGAGTCAGCAGGATGATCTTTGAAGACCACAGAGTGTGCTTTCAAAGCAGAGTGCAAATCCATCTGCAGCAACTGAAGGAGAGAGTCTTACTGCTAAGAAGTTCGTTGTCTCAATAATCATAATTTCGATAAAATTCCTCTAAACTTTCTTCATTGGGATAGGTCTTTCGGATTTTTAGACATCAGTTTGCTTTAGTCTTCTCCGTTACAATAATAATGAAGGAAGAGATATATTAACCTAAATACTGAAGGGAATTTTCTTGCTTACAGCTGTCGTTGCTATATCCTTATTTTGTCATTTTTCTTACATCTCTTCCCTGATCCTAGATTAGGATTTGAAAATTAATATATTTCAAAATCTTTAAATAATTTATTTAATATTCCAAGAATAAAGGTGGAGCAACAAATTAACTCTCTATTAAACAGAGATGTAAGGCCTATTGAGTTCTATGTTTACAATACATAATATCAACAATTTGATGCATACTTGTTAGTCTGCCTTTTGACAGTCTAGTTTGCTATTTAGCCATAAATGCATGGGAGTCAACAGAAAGTAAATAAGTCAGAAATAGCTATTCACCACATTATGTTCCAAAAATGTGTGAGAGCGCAGACTAGCTTTCAAATATAATTAATGTTCTTTATTTCAGCATTGAGACCCTTAAATTTTGTGATCTTCTTATTTTTGAGAAGGCTGGACATTTTAATAGATTATTTACTCATAAACTTCGAATAATTCAGATCTTGATTACTCAACCATTAAATATTGTGAGACGCTGTATTAAAATGTGGCCTGAGCATATTGACATAGTTTCAAAGACTGATAGACGATTTCTTAGATGACCAATACTTCTATCTGATTTATTTCTCTCCATCACTTGGGCTCTTTTCCTCCAGACTTTGGAATCTAGCAAGTAAAAATCAAATTGGTCGGACTTCAATTATCTTCCAATAAAATTCAGAATAAAGTAGGAAGGTATCTCAAAGTGATTTCCTTTTGAGACTCTTAGAAATCATCGCTGTTTTCCAATTTCCACTGAAGAGTATTTATACTTTCCCACATTAGGGCAACTTGTTGTCACTGTTCCGCTTATCAAAAGCAGGCTGGACTTTGGTCAGAAGATTTACACACTCTTTGTTAGACAGTGGGGATCAAGTGTAAGTGTGCAGGCATGAAGACAATTAACACTATATATGCAATGCAGCTTTTTGAGTATTATCAACATATCTCCAGACAAACTAGCAAGTAATCTGATATTTCGGAGACTTCTTTTAAGAGTCTCAATGGTTTAGCAAAATTATTCCAAATGTCAGCAAGGCAGAAGCCTCTTCTTTTGAATAATTCATCTTTAGAATACCTAAGTGGTATCACTAAACTAGCATTACCTTATCAGCTAGTAGGAAGGATCTCTCATATCAAAGGGACGTTTGGGAATAATCAATATTTCAACTTTTTCAGTTTGCTACACTCTCAACTCGAATTTAAATTTGAAGAGTTAGGTTGACTGTCTTCACTTATTAGAGGGGTCCATATATAAAGCCTTTGGTTCCAAACATTACAGGAAGACTTGAAGCAGCCTGGATATGAATAGACTCATCGTGGCTAACGATATGCTTGCAGAGTCTGTTCTTTGAGCTAGCTTAAAATTGTCAAAGATTTACCATGGGGTAGGAGTTTAAACCGAGTAGATTATCCTTCTTCATTCTTTATAATCAGTTAATAACAAGGTGTTATACTAACCCCTAATCTTTATCAGAGACAGCTGGATGGATTCACTGAGGGAGTAGCAACGCTTTGAACATATCTAGGAAGATAATTTAGCTAAGACTTCTTCTCAAAATTGTCAAAAATATTGCTTCAAAGATTTGTGAGGAAAAATTAAAGCTTTGAAGATTTTAAAGACTTCCCGATTCGACAACAGGGCATCTCAAATAAAATTAGAAGTAAGCCTAATCTCACCAACCACTGGCTGCTCTTATCTAAGCCTGCATGATAAAAGATGCTTGAGATCATAAGCCCTTGAAGAAAATAAGAATACTAAGCTAAGAAAAAGAAAGCATTGAAATTTGGTGAATAATCAAAGTTCACATTGAAAATATGACAAACATTTCATCAAAAAGCTGCAGATTTATCTGGGCCATAAGTGCGATAGAAGCTTGAGGTGATTATTGCTTCCTCACATTATATAATATATTGAACTTTAAAGAATCCATCATTGCCGAAGATATGACAATGCAAGATCTCTAAACTAAGCAATAGTCTTATTAAAGCAACTAGAAATTTACAGATGAGCTTAGTTCAATTCTACTAGGTTTTATGGCAGTCCTGATGGGCTGCCTATTTTAAATTTTATGAATGCTAATCTACCATTTATGTTCAATACTATTGGTCAACTCCCCTTTCATTACTAGGGGTTTTGGGGTTTTGGGGTTTTGGGG